AGCTGCCTCCTTTCCAGAAACGGTTTATTATGCTTTCATTATACCCAAATATCACAGGAAAGATGGCACAAGAAAAATAAGTCAGGGAGGGAAGAAAACACGCCAATTAATAATTGAGAGAGGGAGAGAGACAGAGACAGACAGACAGAGAGACAGAGACAGGCTGCGGAGAGCCAGCCAGCTAAGAGCCAGGCAGAGGGGCTGCAAAGTCGCCCTGAGAGCTGTTGATTGTTTTCTGGTTGAGAAGTGATGATCAGGCCGGGATAAAAAGTAAGCTCAGGGCGCGCAGAGCCGGCAGCTGTATGCTAATGCTGCCGAGACCGAGCCTCCGCGTCCCCCATTAAAGCAGGCGACCAGGAGGCCACACATCACTGAACAAATAGGCTCTCTCTAGACAAATAAAATAACACACGTTGGCCAGTGGGGAGGGGAGAGGGAGGGGGAGAGGAGAAAGGGAGAAGGAAGAGCGAGGAGGGAGACAGGGAGACAGGGCGGGGACGGGGCGGCGAGAGGAACAGTGGCCCTGAGCGAGGGGCCGCCAAAGGAGAGGTGGAGGGGTGGGAAGAGGGAGGCGGGTGATGGAGGAGAAGACAGAGAAGATGGGGGCCTGAAATGGCCCCCAAGGGAGATCGAGGCGCTGGGAGGCCCAGGGGAAAGTGGACCAGTGGCCCGAAGGCGGCGGGCTGGGCCGGGCCAGGCTTCGATCTGTGGCGAGGCCCGAAGCGCAAACCCCTTGCGGCCCTCTGTGGAGCCGTCCAGGCCGTGCTGTCCAGCTCTGGTCACCGGCGCTCTTGGTCCCGTGCTGGGCCTTCGGTCCACTCCCTCTGGAGGGACAGTTCCCACCGAGGGAAAAACAAGCAGCCCCGAAGGCCCTTAGTAGAGCCGCGGCCGGCGGGCGGCCGGGGTAGAGGCGCAGCACCCCGCGGGCCCGCGCACAATGGGCGCGCAGCAGATTGCCAGGGGCACTTGACACTCGGGCGACAACTCCAGCGGGTCCCTCCCGCCCTGGGACCGGCAGCCTCGCGGACTCGCCCTTGTTCGCTCTCTTTCATGCACTCTCCTTTTGTGTGGAATTATTTGAACGGAGGTTCCAAGGCAGCTTTATGCTAATGCGCCAGACAAAGGCCAGGCCCGGGGCGGGGGCCGGGGTGCCGGGCGGGGCGGCCGGGCTGCACGTGTCTCTCGCGTGCGCCGGGACGCACCGGCCCCTCATTCCTGCAAACACAAAGCCTCTTTCGCTCGGGCCCCTCAGGGTCCTGCTCGCAGGCCTGGGACGGTGACGCCCGGGAGTCTCGGGGTCGCTGCTCACAGGGACAGAGGGCCGCGGCTGGGGCTTCTCGGCAGCCAGCAGAGGGGTCTGCAGCCGAAGGGCGGTGGGGGTGGGGACGCCAAGGACGCCCCACTAGCGTCTCCAAATGGCACCCCAGGAGCCAAGTCCTCTCCCGGAATCCTGGCCTCAGCGCTTTCCAGAAAATCCCTGCAGTCTTCTCTTAGATTCTCAGCTGAGCTGGGTCCCAGCGACCCCTGCTCGCGCCCGCCACGACGGCAGTTGCGCACACCCGGGCCCGCCAGTTCTGCGGCCATCGGAGCAAGAACCGAAGCGGGGGCTGCAAGGGCCAGAGGCTCACAGGGCCCAGATTGTCTCTGAAGCACTGGCCAGGGACCCGCAGGGAGGGAGGAGCTGCTTGGGAGCGGGAGAGGGGCACGAGGATCCCTGCCGTGCATTCCCCTCCTCACCGGTTCGGTGAAGCCCCTCGGTGGGGACAAATCAGCGCTCAGGGTCACCCCAGCCTGACTCGACGCACCCCTTCCCGGAATCGCAGTGCGCAGAGCAGGCCGCATGGGCGCAAGGTAGTGGCGCTCAGCTCTTCCAGGGGCGGACAGACACGGAGACCGCTGTCCCCTCCCCGAGGTGCGCAGGGTCTGAGATACCCACGCGGAAGACCGTGGATGTCCGCAGCCCGGTGCCGCACATCCAGAGTGAAGATCGCGGGGGTGCGGTGCGTGCAGCTGAGCTCCCACTCCGCCCAGGGTCCTGAAATCACTTCCCGATTCTTGTAGCTTGCCAGTTTCCATTTATCTTGATCGCAGTGGTCTGAAAGCAGAGCTCATTTCTGCTGGTGAGACTAAAACAAGAAACGGATCCGTTGAGTCTCAGTACTATCTCAGCGCTATTCCAACTGGAATTCCCTCGGGCAGGGATTTTGTTTTTATTATTTTGGTGGTTGTGGTGGTTTACAGGCCTCCCAACCGAGCCAGCGTTACAATTAGAGAAGTTGCTATATTTTACAGATTCACTGGGCGACTAAAACTCCCTGCAAGCTGTTGAATGAGAGGAAGATCAGATACGCGCGAGATAGTTGGGGAAGGACACCGGCCCCCACCCGACTCTCTTATTCCACAACCCAGATGGGACGCGTGATTAGAAAATAACATTGGCCGACGCTGTCTCGGAATCTCTTTCCCACTTCTAATTTCATCAGCAGTATTAATCAGCGCTCCAAAGGGCAAGGAAGTAACATCAGTTACTTTCACACCGAACACATTTATACATTTACACAAATTCATTTTACAACTTCTTAACTTTTTTAAGGACTAGCATTTGTCATAGACTTTTTAAAAGAAGGATGAGACTTCTCAAAGTATATCCATTGTGCGTTTCTTCTCTTTCCAGTGTGTGGAGTTAAAAACCATGTCACAAACATTAAATTATCAAACATCTTTCCTCCTGGTTAACCCTTGCTTAACTAACTCTAACAACTGTCCCCAGCGCAACTTTATTACTCATGTGGATTCTGCTGGGAAAAAAATGCTTAATTTCCACGCCAGGGTATTTTCAGAGGGAAACCCCAAAACAATTAAATACCTTCAGTGGAATTAAGTAACAGCAAAACTCAGCAAAAATTCATCTGGATGGGCACAGCTTTGCAGAAAAACGCGTTTTCTTCTCTTTCAATAGAGTGACATTTTGCTCACAACACATGACATTTCATACGGCTTTACTACTTCAAATAATGGACGCTGGGGGCCAGTGGGCACTCCGGGGGTTGGCCCTGTCCCCCGAGATTGTCTTTTGTGTTTCCTGGGCGCTGGGCAAGGGGGGCGACCGCGGGCGGGAGTCCTCGCTGTCGCCTTTTCCTGGTGGCATGGGGAAGGCTCGTCCCCTTGGCGGCCGCAGCCTGCCTCGGAGGACAGATTGCCCCCCTCCCCCGGCCGGCAGCACGCGTCTCTTTTGCGTCCAGATTGGCCGCGACCAGCGCTCAATAGCGGGAGGTTAATTTCCTTCACAAAGGTGAAGGGGGCACGGCTCCGGGGGGGCCCCCGCGCCCAGACAGGCGGCCCCTTTATTCCGCACGCCTTGATTAGAGCCCTTGATTTAGCATCTGATGTCAACCGGCAGACAAAATGCCCGCTCGGAATGAAAATGCATGAGCCGAGCCGCCTGGAAGGCGGAAACTCGCTTCCTGGGGGCGCAGGGCCCAGGCCCGGACTCGGGCCTACTCGGCGGGGCCGGGTCGGGCCTGGAGGGCGAGAGGTCGGGGCGTCCGGAACTCTGCGAGGACTCCAGTCCCGGGCCTCGGGGTCACAAAAAAAGAGATAAAGTTCAGAAAAATCAAAGTTCCCTTTAGAGCTCAGTGCACGCGGCGCAAGACCAAGCGATCCTCGACCCGGCCCGGGCGCAGGGCAGACGCAGCCCTCGCTGCTGCAGTGGAGCCAGGTCCCAGGCGAGCTTCCTGGGACTCCCGGGACACGGCGCGACCCCCTCTCCCGCCTTCTCCCCACCGGCGCGCACAACTTCCCCCCGCTCCGGCTCGCGGCCGAGCCCTCCTGACATATTTGGGGCCGTTCTCTTCCTTTGTTGCTATTTTGCTTCGACCCGCGGGGAGCCCCCGCGCGGGAGGGGCGCGCATTGTCGCGCTGATGGACGGGTCCATTTGGCCACGCCGCGCCCCCCGGAGGAGCCACACAAAGCCGCGGCACGTGCGCCCCGCCATGGAGGCGCAGCCGAGCGGGAAGGAGGCGGGGCCGGGCGTGTGCCGGGGCG